TCACAAGGTCATTGATATTGATCATAATTGTTTTCTTTTCGAATTAGAATTTTAACATTTTGAAATCCAATAAAGCACTGCAAACTCATAAAACACCTCAAATCAGAAGCTCACTGATATTGTTTTCACTGCTGATTTGAACTTTTTCAAGCTTGCCAGAAAACTTTCACCAGTTTACGAGGCAAAACTATCTCTCCCATCATTCTCTGCGACAGCATGAGAACACTAAAACACAAAGCATGGATTACACACCTAATGCATCTTTTTTTTTGTACTATAAAAGCTTCCCATCTTCATTGGGAAGTGAAAAGACAAGTCCACTTTATTCTGACCAACATCACTTAAATGCATATCACATCATTGCGCATTACAACTCACAAGAACAAACTTCTCCAGAGAATGGATGAGCACAGGAGCTCGGTCAATGCCAGAATCCTCTATCTTTGCTTTGTTGAACACAAAGAATCAAGTCTGTCATGCATGTAAACATTCGAGTTCAACCTGGCATCCAAACTATGAAGACTAGCTTTCATCTGACCACTGCAGGTTTCTAGTTTTGCTGAAACCGAGTGCTTTGGGTCACAGTTTGGAATGTAACATTCAGGCTAAACTTCACAATGAAGTCAAAATGCAGTTCGTTATGATGTGATATTTCGCAACGTAGCTCTCCAAATCTCCAGAACAGACTGAATTCCACAAGAATGAATCGCTGGGTTTTTATATGAGTGGTAATGCTGGTAATAAAGCTCTGGTAGACTTTTAACTGAAGCATGTGACGCGTGAAGAAACTACAGTCTAATATTATAGCAGACCCTGCAGCAGAGAGCAGAGCTTACGCCCTCCACCACAAACTACATCAAAGAGCATTGTGGGTGGAGCGCTAACTTTCAATACATGGTGCAAATCTGTAGGCTTACTGTCAATCTGACTTCTCAAAGCTGCTGCGGAAAATGTAACATTTACAGCAAGACCATACGATCTGATTTAATGCAGAGCTAAAATTATATTTTTGAAAAACCTCACATAACATAAATCAATACGCAGCATTTCTGACACATTATCTGCATTTGTAAAGGAATATTAGCTTACTAGTTATGAAATACTATTTTTAAAACGTGATGTGAAACAGAACTTTTTATTTATAATATACTTTTTCAAATTCTAGTATGCATTTCAAATAGTTAAACATCTACATAAACTGTGATTTTGCATTTCTGAGCAAAAAAGGAGACTTTTTTATCTTTATTGTCAGTCTCATTAAAGAAAGAGATGTTAAAAATTATAACTGATATTACTTCAGGTTCAGCTGAATATCAAGTCGACCACATTGCATTGTAAGATACAGTAGGGAATTTTATGCATGTTAGCTAATTATCTATGAAATACTGCTTTCTATTTTTTCTAAATAGTATGTGAAACAGAATGCATTATTTAATGAACTTTTCACATTGTAGTATGTACTACAAACAGTAAATCTTCTAAGAAATAAACTGTTATTTTGCATTTTAAAACCAATTTTTTTTGCAGTCTTATTAAATAAGTAAAGAAAGAGATGCTAAAAATCACGACTGTTATTACTTCAGGTTCAGTGGAATATCAAGTCGACCACATTGCATTGTGACTATTGTATGCATACAAAAAATGTGTATATTTACATTTTTAAAAAAGTTAGCTATATCCTGCGGGAATGGTAGTATTATAGCATGCCAAGTCCATTACCCATCAATCAATTTATATGTCAACACTCAATTTCTTCTAAACTGTAAAAAAAATAAATATATATATATAAATATATATATATATATACTGTATTTTTTTTAGATGTTGTAAATAAAGACTAGTCAAGTATGTTTTACAAGAAAAAATATTTGTCTTTAAATTTTATGTTTAATTCCATGCTACTTGCTGTTTCTTGGTAATTATTTGTGAATTTTACTAACAGTTTCTGAGTGAAAATGAGAAAAATAAAGGGGGAAATCTTGGTCTCTTCCTCCAAAACATCTCAAATGTGTGTTAGGAAGGCAGAAAAAGCATCAGCAGTTTTACAGACACGTCACACATCTTATAAAGCAATTACACAGGCACACTGACCTCAAATCTACCAAACCAGAAGCTCTGACGCCTTTATACACTCAGCAACGCTCTCTTCCACATGGCATTTCTGACAGGCCCCAAAAGCAAAAGCCTCATGCAAGATTTAAGTTGTACATCTTAAATTTTGCACTTCTGTGTATGAATGGCAGAAATGTTAACGCGGGCATAAGGCTTTTCTTTCCACTGGCTCAGTGAGTTGGAACACACATTACAGCATGTGCAGCACTCTAGTTTTCATTCTTTACACACACACACCCTTTCTGGGTTAATAAGCCTGATGGAAATGTGCGTCTCCTCTGATGCGAGATCAATAAACAAATCAGTTTATTCTGTCCCATTATATCATTACGCCCCTATGACACTGTCTTCTTAATCTGATCAATACACTTCTAAGACTCACATGGTTCTGCCATTAACATCTACAATGCTAGAATTTCAAAAAACCTCCAGTATTTCCGAGAACACACCGCAAAATGTCCTGACTCGAGCTATAATAATGGAAAATGACATCACTGGGTCGCTTTGAGATTTAACTGTCAAGTTATTACACCAACTGAAAGTACTGACATATACCATGTAGACCTGTGATCTTTGCAGCAGTGCGCCTCGGTATTGTTATTACACATCAAACAGCACACCACCGACACGCATCACATGCTATTTGCGGTTAATTCCGATTGATCTTTAACAGCTGAGCATATTGGCAAACATATCGCAAGCAAAAGGCAGATTATAAGCTAATAGGATCACCGATCGGCAGCCTAATAAAGTCATAACAGATGGAAACGCAACACAAGGCTGGAAAGAAGGGGGTTGAACTTGAACCCGGTGACCTTTCGGGCTCGGGGTGATCAATACGACGCAAGTCGCAGCAACAGACGCATAAGCACTGGCAATAAATACATAACTTCTACTGGGTTTGCAATTGCAACCCAGAGCTATATTGCCTGCGTTTCCACAGCAATACTCCCGCAGTGTGCTTCAGCCAAATTGTTCATGAAAACACACACACACACTTTCCACCCAGATCAGTGCTGCATGTACCATCTACACATCCTGTAACGCGATAAACATTCCCTGCATGCACTAAAAGAGGAGGGCTGCTCGGATGCCCTTGGTATGTAAATATAGAGTATCGTGGCCAACTGCCAGCCGAGGAACGCCATGGCCATATTTATGAGAAATATATCGCTTTATTGCATCCCCTCCCCCTGCGTATGACAGAAAGAAAAACAAATTCCTGTCCTGAATTCAGTCTCGGCTCGTCACGGTGAGCTCTACCTATCAGGGCTAATCCGGGTCTGCTGGAAGCAACCCCCCGGCCCTGCCTGCGTCGCAAGATTGCATCTTTTATTTATCGCCGCTTGGCTTTATTTTTGCAGAGCATTCCATACTGGGATGCAATCAGCCAAGAAACCCTCCCCGTGCGCGCAGGCTTGTCATTTCCCATTGCCGGAGCTCGGAATGAGGCGCACACAAAGGGGAAAAAGCGGAATCAAAAGCAGAGAGCTCCACGTAGCCTGTTGGAAAAAGGGCAAGAGCCCTTGATCTTCCAAGACAGCCAGTCCGCTCAAGAGGCTCCGGGCAGGGAAGACACACATAGGCCAGTGTGTGCGTTTCTCTGAGAGCACAAACCCATTTTGGCTGAAGGGTGAGGGCATAGAGTCCAGCTGAGGCACCTCTTCTCTTGCGGGCTACGGACGTGGAGGAGGGGGGGAATGGTCATGCAGAAAATTATGTCCGCTGATTGCATTACAATTCGAATTAAGCAAAGGCACTAATGTGATTAAAATCTTGAATTGTTTCCAAAGGGCGGAGGGCTGCGGAATCAATTGCGGGCACTTTAAAAACAAAGGTGGATAAAGTTGTGAAACGACAAAGCGAGTGAACCACTACATGCCCGAGCTGAATATCGTGTTCGCAGCTACTTTGACAAGTTTGAGGCGCACGCTGACGTCATGAGGGTCAGCCGGAACGTATGCATATTATTAGGGGACATTTAAAAAGAAATCGAGGCGCTGCGTCTTTAAATCGCCATTCCTCCCACCCCTTTCCCAAATATTTTCCATTTAACAAGCAGTGAAAGAAAATAAAAAGCCGCTTTTGTTTCCCTTCCTTTTGGAGGGTGACGGAAAGCTGAAAAGACACAAACGAACATGAAAATGGGAACAAAGTGCCAATTTCAATAGGGATGCCTGACGGCTATTTGATATGCGCACCCACTAAATACAAAAACAGCGGTGTTTCGCTGCTAAAAACAAGAGTCAGGGTCTTAATTGCAACAACAACAAATATTCGCGTCTATTCCTGCTATTTTAGTTGACATGACAGCTCTACATCCAGCAGTTGGTGGACTTACTACGCCAATAACCCCCCACCCCCCCTCAAGCTTTCACTTCAGAAAAATAAACAGACCTGACAAGCTTCGGAAGATGTGACATTTCAATCGCTTTACGAAAAAACACACGATTAATATGTCGCTACACCGACTAAAGTCGAACTACAAAACAAGTCCGAGGTGAAAGAATAACGAAAAAGTGAAGAAAATGTGCTTTAAACGCTGAATGGATCGAGCGACAGACGTCGAGCTCCACTTCCGCGCTGTTTATCTCGCGCAGATACAAAAGCGCTACAATGTATTCAGAACGTTTCCCAGAACGCTCGGAATGTATCGATAAACCGGAGCGCTCGGTGTCTAAAACGACATCACCGGCACCCTGTCGAAAGATTTAAACCCGTTGTATTCCTCCCTTTGTTCGCCGTAAATTCAATAGTCCCTTTCATTCGACTCGTGTTCCTCATTTAAACGACATTCGAACGTTTTCTCTCGACTGTGTCTGCGCGATGGTGACTGGAATCGGTAGATTTAAACGTTTTCCAAGCCGCGGGTTTACATCCACACTCACCGACTTGCAATACGTTGTCCACACAGCCGCTCTCCAGCAATGCGATGCCGCGTCGGAACGGTAACCGCGTCTCGTCTACGTTCTCCCCGCTAGACGCACTCTCCTCTCCGCCCGTGTTGAACGAGGAATACATGCAGATCTCCCGTTCGCTCCTCGGGAAAGACCAGTACACGATCCGCCGCTGTACGGGCTCCGGGATGCGCTCGAAACGCTCCTCCACCCGTTGGAACGGCCACTTCTCCGCTACTTTCCGCGCTGCAATGTCCAGGAGCGATTCGGGGCTCTGGGTTTTGCTGGATCCCCCTTGGCCAGAACCCGAACCGCCGCATATTGTTCCACCGGCTCGCTGCCCCTGCCTACATGTCGTACTATACCCGGGTCGGCAGCAGAGCCGTTTAGCTGGGGGCTGCTGAACGCGCTCCGCCATGATCGCACTGCTTTAACGGCAAGGGCGGAAGTCGCCGTACTATATAAACGGGATAAGGAAAGGAAAAGGTTGCGACGCGCATCGATTGTTCGCCGTGTAAGGACAGCCTGGACTTATTTGGTCAAAAGGGCGGGGCTTCGGAGCCTTTGTGTAGCCAAAATAAGCAAGGGGCGTGGCCTGAGCGTCTGCAGCCGTGCTAAAAAAGGCATGGGAGGCGGAACTCTCGCACGTCGGCGAATCCTTGCGAGAGTCATAATAAAAGTGTCAGTTCACAACAGGAAGAGGCATGCGAGCTTGGAAACGCCGTCCACACACGAATGAAAGAAATACAGAAATCGTAGGTATTAGAGGACATTCAAAAAGCAGGCATGTAAATAGGAGAATGGGTGGAGTCTTGAACCTGCGTCCCACAAAAGCTGTCAAAATATACAAACCTACATAGCCTATTACCCTCACAGACCCAATTATATATACTACGTGTAAAAATAGTGCACAGTGTGCATGGTTAAAGCATGGTTCAACAGTATGCATTATAAAGATAACATGATGATTATTAGTAGCTTTTGTTAGTCAAAAATGATCTATCTCTCTCTCTCTCTCTCTCTCTCTATATATATATAATATATATCTAGATATCATTTTGAGAAATATACTTGTGTATATATGTGTAAATATATATATATATATATATATATAGGCATATACAGTATATATAATATATATGTATGATTTTATACACATACTTTTTGAGAAATAAA